GAGATAAACTTCTTTTGTGTTTTGAAGAAAGTATTCGCCACATTGTCTGTCATTACCACAAACTTTGTAGCCAACAGGTAAACTCTCTGAGTCATAAGACAATGCACAACCGCTGTCATTTCCTTCTCATGGGCAGAAATTTCTTCTCAGCATCATTCAACTTCCAACTTTCAAATGCAATCAGGTGCCCTTTCTGCACCAATATTCATCCAATAGCCTTATCAGAAGCATCAGTATGCAATTCAAATGGAAGTTCAAAATCCAATAACCATAAAATCGGCTCACTTGTAACAACTTTTAATTTGTCAAAGGCCACTTGATAACTTTCATCTCATTTCCATGGTTTGTCTTTTTTGATCAAATCTATAAAAGGTGTTGTCTTCTTCGAGTATCCCTCAATGAACTTTCTATAGTAGTTCACCAAACCCAAAAAGATCATAACTTAGCCATTTTGCATAGTGCTTGCCAATCCATGATTGCTTGCACTTTTCTGTTGTCTATCTTCACAAGGCCTTTGCAAATAACATTCCCCCAGAACTTAATTTCTCATTGGGCAAACTCACACTTTTCTTTCTTGGCATACAACTGATGTTCTCGCAACTGAGCGAACACTATTCGAAGGTGAGTTAAGTGATCCTCTAAGGACTCACTGTAGTGTGACGCCTTAAAAATCGAGAACATCAAGAAATATATTAACAAATAAATGTAGGGTTTTTCTAAGGTTATAAGTGTATGAAACATCACTAATGAGTTCTTTGGTCAATAAGTAAGATCTCAAGAAAGATTAGAGAAGTCAAATTAGCCTCCCTTCTAAGTCCAATCTCCTTAGATAGTAAAGTTGCCTTTTTAATAGATCTTGACAAAGTATTAATACAAGGTTTACATAAATTGACGGAATATAAGGATAGGTTTAGAAAATATATATGTATATATAAGTAAAATAATAGTTATAAGATCATAACTTAATTACGACAAGAGTGTTAACACTTACAATTCCAAAACATGATTATTAGTTCCAAATTCTTCAAGGATAGCCATATGTAGGGATGGCCATTTTAGTCCGATTCGTGAGGCCTGCCCATACCCACTCGAATGAGGCGGATTTTACTTGGCCCGATATTTATGTGGAGAAAAGGTGGATTATATTTTTGTCACCCACAGCGGGAGTAGGGGTGGGGTAGGGGTGGGTATCGCCTCTCCCGATCAAAACCCAACCCGATATAATTAATATATATAAATAAATAATATATGTGCATATATAATACAATTAGATATAAGAAAAGAATAGTACAAGTTTGAGGTTTTGTTTAAATATAAATAAATATTTTCAAGGGTTTGGTTCAATCATGCAAGTTTTTACACTTTGAACATGAGTTTTGAAGTTCAAATTCTATTTTGGAAAACCTAGAATTCGGCCAGACCGCTCGAGCGAACAAGTTGTCGCTCGAGCGCACATCTTATGCATATAGCATTTTTGCAGAGTTTTGCAGTCGACTTGAGCGACCTCAGTTTATTTTGGCACCATGGCTGGGTGACCATTAAGCTTAGATTCGGACCATCCAATACTTTTGCAGACCATGTGGTCCGCTCAAGCGACCAATGTTGCACTCGAGCAAAGTGCCTCCGTTTCAGCATATTTTGAAAAGTCATATTTTGTTTATGTTTTCATTCCCATTCCTTTCCGAGCAACCTTAGGCATGAAATAAGCCTCATGAATAACTAAATAAGTAAAAACTAAATGTAAAGGAATTAATTGAGAGATGAATGACCCAATTAAGTAATGTGATCCAATGTGTGTATGTATTTGTATGTTGTGTAGGTTCATCCACAAGGACGTGTCAGCAACTAAATCATTGTGAGTAATATCTTAGTAAAGATATTTTCTTATATACTCTATTTTCTGAATGTCCTAATGTAGTAAGTTTTTTTTCGAACCTATGGTTTGGCAAGTGTGAATGAGCTTATATCTGTTTAATCAACATGATGTCTATTAATGTAATTGATTACATACGAAATGTATGAGATGGACCCAAGGTCGTTTGGATCATCTGATTATTTGATTATCTGATATTTGTTGACCAAATGGTCTTTACACAACTGTAATGAATTGGACCCAAGGTCATTCCGCCAAGTATGATATGATCTGTTCCGTATTTCTGTTTATGTTGGACCAGAGGTTGCTTTGTTATGTATTGAACCCGAGGTCATTTCGCTATATAATATGAGAATGGTTTTGTTAAGTCTTAGAACTCATTCATATAACCTCTTTATTCTGATGTTATTCATTGGGCTTTAGCTCACTCCGATATATATATGTGTGTGTGTGTGTGTGTGTATGTGTGTGTAGGTGAGTAGCGGGATGTCCAGCCTTAGTGAATTTGTGAAAGATTTCCTGAGTTTTGTGGAGTCAGCTTTGGAGTGCCTCACGGACGAGGCTTTTATCTTTGTTCTTTGTTTACTTTAGTTGGTCACTCTTGATCGGTACATAAACTTTTGGATGTGTATGTTAATGACTTGTGAACAATCTTTGGATACGTAATATCTATTTATATGTATACGAATGTGAATTATTAACATATAAAATGTTTTTATTTATGCCATATATGCACAGCTCGTTGGACAAAAATTTATAATTCTGCTTCTGTTTCCGGCTTTATATAATTAATATTATGTCTGAGAGCGTAGGTAATCTCATGATTACTGACTGGTTATGATCCAAACCTCTAGGGCGCGGTTCTGGTCATGACAATAATGGTAGCGATGGCAACAATGATTGCACGGTGATGGTAGGATGGTTGTGTTCATTGTGGTGGTACGGTGGTCACTATGGCAGGGATTGTGGTGTCGGAAGTGCATGGTGGTAATAGTTAATAAATGCCTATTTCTTTGTAACTAGAAAATAATTCTTAACATAATCTCCAATAATTACTTTTATGTAACTATTTTAAATTTGTAATAATAAAATCATTCAATTTAATTTTAAAATTCATAGATAAATTATTAACTTTAAATTTAAATTAAAATTCGTTTGGAAAGTGAATTTAAAATTTTTGATTAAAATATAAGGTGAAAAAAATTAAAGTATTTAAAAATAATTTTTTTGACTTTTCGTAAAAAAAAAAGGTGTAAAAAATTTAAAAAAAGAGAGGGAGAATCTTTAACTTCTATATAATTTTTTGAGTTTTAACTTTTTAAATTATTTGTTATTTTTTTAATTAAATAAACTTATCGCCAAACATGACCTTATATATATCAAATTGGGTTTGGCTTCCCTCCAGTCTGATACGAACTGGAGGGTGCTGTTGGGCTCGTGGGGCCCATCACAAGTTTCATTTTGATAATTTGAACCGTCAATGTGTAGAACTCGTCGAGTACTATATACCTATAAAAAATTACGTTGATCGGATATTGATAGCTCTGTGATCAAATCAGTTTTGTATAAAAAAAATGGACGGTGAAAAAATAAACGGTGGGCATAAATTTGATCCAATGAAGTAGCTATCGATATCAGATCAACGTAATTTTGTACATATATTTGGTACTTGATGAGTTGTACATATTGAATGGTTTGGATTATTGAAAAGGAACCCGTGATGGCTCCCACGAACTCAATAGTACCCTCAAATCGCTTACGGACCGGAGGGAAGCCAACTTCTATCAAATTCATCCATTTTAAATTCACATGCATCCAAATGGCACGTAACACCCTCAATTTACCAAAAAAAAAAAAAAGAACTCTAAAAAAGTGTCTATTTGGTTTGATTTTTCAAAAACTATTTTTAGATGAGTTGTCATTTATTTTTAGTGATTTTTTTGATATTTTAATCATTTATTTTTTTGCAATTTTTAGATGTATCTAAATCAAAATGTATCTAAAAATTTTAAAAAATTTATAAAATTTTTTTTGAAAAATCACTAAAAACAAACAATAATTTATTTGCATTTTTGTTCGATTTTTGTTTGTTTTTAGTGAATTTTAGTTAATATTTTTTTAAAAAAACTTTTTAAATGCATTTAATTTTCATCTATTTAAAAAGGAAAAATAATTAATTAAAATATCAAAAAAATCTTAAAGACAAACAAAAATCTATTTAAAAATAATTTATGAAATTGTAATCAAACAAAGTATTTTGGAAAGGCATTAGATTGTCTCTGGTCCACAGTCTACAAAGTAGACTGCCCCGTGTTGTTTGGGCCTATGGGGTTGGCCACGGGTCTTGTCTCGATAATTCGAAGTGTTCATATTTTAAATTATAATGTGTAAATCATATATGAAAAAAATTAAATCGATTTGATAACCATAAGATGTATCTAAATCAAAATGTATCTAAAAATTTTAAAAAATTTATAAAATTTTTTTTGAAAAATCACTAAAAACAAACAATAATTTATTTGCATTTTTGTTCGATTTTTGTTTGTTTTTAGTGAATTTTAGTTAATATTTTTTTAAAAAAACTTTTTAAATGCATTTAATTTTCATCTATTTAAAAAGGAAAAATAATTAATTAAAATATCAAAAAAATCATAAAGACAAACAAAAATCTATTTAAAAATAATTTATGAAATTGTAATCAAACAAAGTATTTTGGAAAGACATTAGATTGTCTCTAGTCCACAGTCTACAAAGTAGACTGCCCGTGTTGTTTGGGCCTATGGGGTTGACCACGGGTCTTGTCTCTATAATTTGGAGTGTTCATATTTTAAATTATAATGTGTAAATCATATATGAAAAAAATTAAATCGATTTGATAACCATAACTAATTTATTTTATGACATTTATTTGTCAGAAAATGAACAACAAATATCATTTAAAACTAGACCATTCATTTAGCGAAAGATAAATATAATAAACTAATATAGTTATAATAATTGAATCTATTTAATTTTTTTTTTCTATAAATAACATTCATATTATAGTCTAAAACATATATGATTTAAATCATTAAGAGGAGCAACCCACGAACCCAAACAGCAGGTCCAGGAGACAAGCTAATCCCTTTTGAAACAAGGAACCAAACGGGCCCCCAAAAACCCTATTGATAGCCGCAGCTACGAAAGTGTCCGATTATAAGGCCCGAGCTAGGGTTACAACTACAACTACAACTACAACTACAACTACAGCGAGAGAGAGAGAGAGAGGAATCGATGGCGTCGAAGGTTACAGTGAAGGCAAAAGGCAAGGCGACGAAGGGGTCAAGGGTCTCCGAGGAGCGATCTGCGGCGAAGTGCGTGAAGGAATGGACGACATGGACGATGAAGAAGGCCAAGGTCATCACACACTATGGTTTCATCCCACTCGTCATCATCATCGGCATGAATTCCGACCCCAAGCCCTCTCTCTCTCAGCTCCTCTGCCCTGTCTGAGATTGGTTTGATTGCTTCCATTATCTCCAATCTTCTTTTTTTCTTTTTCTCTATTGATTTCCTATTTCCTGTAGTAGTGGTCGCTCGGTTACTATTCGTCGAATTCACATGGATACTCATCTAGGGTTTTGCTTTCATGTAATGGGTCTCTGTGTATTTGGCCTTTGACTCTGCCTTTTTTTTATATGCTTTGTGGTTGGTGAATTACTACATCATCTGAACTTGTTTTATATATATATATATATATATATATAAATATTGTGGATTTTGAAAGCATTAGTTCTTATCACAGAGGGCATATGCATGGAACTGATTTGATTTTCATCATCTGAACTAGATTATATTTTATTTTATTCATATTTGGGGATTAATCTGGTAATTTGGTTTTTTGTTTTATCATTATTTTTTTTTGTTTGTTTGTTGGTGCTGTGGGATTGGATTTGCATAATTGGCTTTGTTAGCAGTAATATGCCAACAATTTCCAACAGCCCGTTTGGATTGGGTGATATCGGAAGAAAAGAAAAAAAATGCATTTCTCTTTCGCTTGGTTGATATTCTTTTTTTGAATAAGTAAAGAGAGACATTGTGTGAGATGGAGACATTGCCCTTCCAAAAGTGGAGAGATTGAGAGAGAAAATAAACCAATTAATTACTATTCAACTGAGGTTATTTCGTAATATATTATGAAACAATTTCTTTTCTTTTCTTTTCTTTTATCTAGTTTAATAATTTAACTTTCTTATTTATCCTAACAAAAAGTACCCTTCTCTCCTAACTTAGAGCATCTCCTGTCCAATTTGGTTAAAAACTTGATCTTATTTTGCCCATGTTGTTGCGGAACTGGAAAAAGAAGCAGTTTTTCACACAGCTTGCTCATAGTGCAGGTAGCACCTGTATATTGTGTTTGGCCAAAGAAGCATCGGACAGGTTGGAGTTCTTCTTACCTTCGTGGGACTCCATAAACCAAGATGTGCTTTCATTATATGAGCAATAATGATCTACTTCAGAGATCATATGGATGTAGAAAAAGCTTTTAATTTTGATGAATTGGAAAAATCACTTTTCCATTTCTATTTACCCATTCCATATCTTTGTTTTGTGTGTTCCCTGAAGCAATTCGATCTCTTCAAAATAGCCGAGGCCAGAGAATCAGAGAGTCAGATAGGCCAGGAAGAAAGGATTCATTTGCATTTGGCCACTATGATCCAACAAAAGGGAGTCTTCTCTCCTAACTTAGACATCTCCAGTCCAAACGTGCTAAATATATATGTTAAAAACTTGGTTTCCAAACGGGCTAAATATATATATATATGTTAAAAACTTGATTTTATATAAAACACTCCAATCTCCTAATTATCTTTTTTTCACCGAATATTTTCAGAAAATTTCCAAACTTCTCTTAGAAACATATTTTAATCATTTAAAATGAAAGAAAAGCATTTCCAATGCTTATTCTTTTTAAAATCTTATCAAATTTGAGTAAAAATATAATGGTTGGAGTCGACCTCTCCCTTATTTTGATTCAGATTTGATGAAATTGCCTCAGATGAAGTGAATTTTGCTGGCTATCAAAGGTAATTAGTATTGTACATTGATTTTTTTTGGGATGTACATTCATCTGATACAGCTTTCCACGTGTTCTATGTAATGGGATTTTCGTTGCGTTGGAGTAATATTGCCCTTTATAGAGTATGAAGGACCAATTGCTACATTGAATATTGGCCCTCTTACTCCAGCTAGTGGAGTCTTTTGCATCCAATGGACAATTGTGTTGGCATTGGTTGTTTGTTTAAAGTGGAAGCTAGGGTAATGGTTGTGGGTTTTTTTTCCTCATGTGTGCATTGTTTTTGTGCATGATACACGACTATTTGATTTCTTGATTTAATTGCAATACCTTATCTTTACAATGGTTGCGTATTTATATGATCAATGTCACTATGTATGCCTTTAGGTTGAATTTGTTTGTGATTTAGGTTGCAGGAAAACAACCATTAATTGTTCTTTACAAAAGTTACTTTCATCTCGATGAAAATGAAACTTGAAATATCAATACTAATATGAGCGCTTTTATTATAAATTTGATGAGTAATAGTTCTTTAGATGCATCAAATTAGATTATAACATCCATAAAAAGTTAATTGACACTGAATTTATGATTGACTATGTTTGTGCTTGTGCTTTGAGCTCCTGCAATTTTTGTTTACAAATAATATACTATGATTTTAACCAACACAAATTTTTTTCGTCAATTAGAGCTTGGCCCATCTGATGAGTTAGTCCTTAACTTTTAGTAGTGAAGTTCCTCTCAATTCGCTTTCAAAAATCCTTCTTGCTGCTGATTTTGGTATTGACTTGCCACAATGAAAGTAATTCATGAGCTAGCAGAATAATCCTGGGACGTTTCATAGCTGTCTCATTTGTCTTTTGTTTATTTTTTTGTCAGTCTTTGTGTTTGTATATTCTATCAGATTCAGTCTTTGTGTTTGCATCTTCTATCAGATTCTGTTCTCATTCTTGTATGATGTTCTTTTTATTAGGGTAAAAAAAATGAAAAAAAAAAAAAAATCTTTAAGTAGTTTGGATTTTTATTTTCTTGTTTGACAAATTCAAAACCAAAAATAGCCTACGAAGTTCCACCGAGTGATTGAATTTCTCTTCCGTACGTATATTACGGTTTCATTTCTATATAATTATGGCATTGGCACAAATTATGTTTGGCTTCCGTAGCAATGATATGCTTAGGTGTTGTTTGTATACATAAAACATATTTATGCTTATTTTTGATAAAACGAAAACAAAAAAACATGTTTGGTATACGTGTTGTAAAATTTTGTTTTAAAAATAAATGGAGGGGTTGGTCATTGGGAAGTGGTTGTCGACAGCTAGAGATGATTGTCAGATGTGGTTGTTAGCCACTTGAAGATAGTGACTGAGGTGGTTGTCACTTGCCAAAGGTGGTTGGTGATGGTTGTCGACAGTCGAAGGTGGTAGTTAGATGTCAAAAGTGATGGTGGAAGGTGTTTTGCAATCAGAGGTGGTTAAAAGTGGTTGCGTTAGATGACAGGTGGGTGATCACATGTGGTTGTTGAAGGGGGTTGGGAAGCGAAGGTGGCCAATGGTAGTGAAGATTGGTGGGTGGTGGTTGGAGGGGGTTGGGAGGAGAAAGGAGTTTTTTAGCTTGTTTTTTATGGAATTTTTTTTTTTTTTTTTAATGATTACAAAAATTTAGTAAATTGTATAATTTGTTTACTACTTTTTCAGCAAAAATGGGTACCAAATGAATTTTTATTTATTGTTTTCAAATTTTTTCTAAGGACAAATTACATTAATGATTCTTACATTTTGTCATTTGTGTCAATTTAGTTTGTACATTTTCAACTGATTTAATTTTAGATTGTGTCAATTTAGTTTGATTTTTTTTAATCAACAAAAAATCCTTTATTAATGATAAAAAAGAGTACATCACTAAGGACAGGGAATGGTAAACTTGCATCATAACAATCCTGACTCGGCCGAACTAAGTTGGCACAAGAGAAGATTGCACAATCATATCATATGCAAATTCAACCAAGAAAGAAACAAAGTTAATATAGTTATTACATTTTGTCACTTGTGTCTATTTAGTTTGTACAGTTTTAATTAGTTCGATTTTAGATTTTGTTGTCAGTTTGGTTCAATTGACAACACTATTAGTTTTTTATTTATATATTTTTGTATTTATTTAATGATCACTAAGTTGGTTGAGTTACTGAATTGATCAAATTTATAATTTTGTTTTTAAAAGCATGACACATGTTATTCATATATGTATTTTTCATGAAATAATGTGAACATTTGTGATAATTCAATCAAATGAGACGGTAATAATGTAGGGTCAAATTCGAACAAATTAAAATTATAAGAATCAAAATGATACAAGAATTAAAGTGTAAATACTATTTATAATGTTCAAAATTTTGGAACATTAAGCGTAAAAAGTATAAATATGATGAAAGGAAATATAAGGCTTAGTTTGGCATAATAAAAAAAGTTAAAAAGTTAAAAAGTCACTATCTTATTTAAGTCACATCATTTATTTAAGTCACATCATTGTTCTACCACATCACTTCAAACTCAATTTATACTCAATTTATATTTTATTAAAAGTCAAAAAGTATATTTATTTAGTTTATCCTAAATAACCCCTAATATCACCATTACAAGTTTAGAAACATAGTCATTGATAAAAAAAAAATAAATAAATAAAAACTTGGAATTATTTGAATAAAAGCTACAAAGTCAAACAATAAACATAAAATATTAACTAGAACACTAAGGTGAAGAAGCTACACGAGTCAAAGATTTCCGCTCAACCAAGACACCACGGTATCGTCAACATTGCTTTCCTCGTCATAAAGACTCATCTTCCCAACCACTAAGCCGGGGCCTTGGATGATTTGAAATACCCCTTTGGTTAAATATTTAAATACTAGAAACTGCAACTACGGATGTCCATGCCTAAGGTTACATATTCAAGCAGTGATATCTATGATTTGCTCCAAGAGAACGGTTTGTCAAGAATATAATATTCTCTTTATTGTGTCATCCGCACATCCATCATTATTTTAAAATCGAAATACTGATAAAGATTCAAAAATATCATGTGCCATCTAAAGATTTCCTGGCACAACTTTCTCAAGAGATCCCAAAACTAAAGCTTACCTTGAAAAATCGGTAATTTTCCGTCAACCGCTAGTTTCATAAATCCGCTTATCTATTTAATTAGTTACTATGATAATCACTCTTGTTTACATATTTAAGTCAATGCCCGCGCTATGTCATTTTTATTACTATTTATTATAACAACTATTAATACATGCTCTTTACAATTTTCAATTAAATATATCTGTTGTTAGAACTGTGTAAAATACCGTCCAATCTGCTAAAATCGCATCAATCAACATCAATCTATACCGCTCTATTTGCTAATCATGGTGTAAATTTAAAATTTAAAATTTATCTTCAAAATTGTTCCACTCCGCTATAGTTAATATATAAAAATGAGTGTGAAAAAGGATTTAATATGTGAAAGTTGTTACAAATTGATAGTTATATATATGAAAAATATTATGCAAAATTAGTTTGTGTTGTATATATGAAAAATATTATGCAAATTAGTGTTATATATTATGTACAGTCTTGATAATTGGTTAAAATATTATTTAATCTGCTAATC